CCTAACAACCGCGGACCTACCACTGCACTAGACCCTTCACTATACCCTACTAAAAGTTAAATTCGTTTCTCAAACCAACCAAACAACGTACAGAAAAAAGTCCATACCAAGGCTGTCAAGGTAATATAGGCAACGAGAGTGTGTGTTGACGACAAGCTGCCTACAACGAAAACTGACGAATTCGTCCCTTCTATTGAACACGTCCATGTTCTGTCACTTTCTCTACCCATAGTCGAGTATTCGTTGCTCTGCCTCTCCCTCAACTGAAGCATCGACCAAGTACGGCCAAAAAAACAACGCAAAAAACACAAGCACAAAAGCACTAAATCCCTCCCGTACAGCGAGTAAGTGCGTAACATTGATCTCGCTGTTAGCGCTCTATTTCTCCGCGGACAAAATTACTTACCGTCGTCAATTGCATACATGCACATAGATTTCTTACAGAACTCCTCCCGTCCGTCAACCAAGAACTCCAAGCCTAGCAACCATTGCCACACCAATAAACCACTTTTATCAAGGTAAAGAACAGCTTATACAGTGAAATGGCTTGTTCATGTAAATGGAGACCAAACACTAACGCATTCCGTTGCCATAGGTGATACAAACCCATCCACAGCACACCCACCATGTCCAAGAACTCGCGCTCGACCCCTTCCGGTCCACCATCCCAAACTGCCTCACCAATCCATCCCAACACTGGCACAATGACAACAACAATTCTGTCTCCTCACAGCGAATCCGCAAGCAGGACAAGATCTTTGCGTTCTTCAGATCGTCCAGTCAAGAGCACAAGGCCAAGAATACCGGTTCTACAAGTCCCAAGTCTATCAAAGGAGCCTCGGCTACCAGTGCCGAAATGTCTGTTCATCACTTTTCCACTGTCAGCACCCCTGAGAGTGTTGACATTGAACAAGCGGTCTCCACCACCGCCGTCAAGAGTACTCCCTCCATTGTTCACCCTCTACTTTGCTGACCAAACCTCGCCTGGACGTCTTCTCACAGAACGTCAATGCGCCTGCTGTGCGCATCCCTTTACCCGCATTTGGCGCTCGCATCGATACCACCCCTCAGCTTGCCCTGTGCATAGGCTTGCTTTCTAAAGTTCACGACGCCGTCGACCAGCGAAAGGATCCTTCTCAAGACTTGCCATCCGACACTGCTGCTCGCCTGGCCTGGGTCAAGGCTATGAAGCAGGATCCTACTGAACGAGAACGCCTCTTTTGGTTAGGAACTCGTATGGTTGACGAGTTTGCCAAGGATGCCTTCAAGGATTCGCCGAGATTGCCGAGATGGTCCTCATTGGACCTGTTATGAACATGGAACATTACCGTGGGTTACTCTCCAGCATCATCGCAGCGTTGACCATTCTGTGATTCTGAGTGTCGATCTCCTCCAAGGTCTCGTGCAGTTGGTGCAGTCTGCACCCCCTGAATCCCTCCTCTCTGATGACCTGGTCAAGATTCTTCGTCTACTCCGGCTTCGTCTGCAGGACACTCACCAACAGTCGACAGTCCACCCTTTCCATCTCACGTTGGCACTCTCGAGGGTACTTGATGTTATGGCGGACCACAAGGTCAAGGACCTGAGCCGTGTGGAGGAGCGCGAGCCCTTGTCCGGAGTCCTGTCGAGCTTGACAGGTAGCTCGGACCCCTACCTGATGTACCAGGCTTGCTATGCGTTTCAGGCACTGCAGTATGTGCCTGATGATGAGACTGTGCTCCAGGCGGTTCTCCGACAGTCTATTGGGTTGCAAGTGGGTTGGTCAAGATTTCGGCAGTGATGAAGCTGGACGTGGGCGCAGTTCTTGAAGGACTTGACAAGCTGCAGGAGGCGATTGGCAGCACGGTCGAAATTGCAGGTACTTTGTACGAAGGGTTTTGCTCGCTGATGGAGAGTGGCCGAGGTGTGTTTGACAGTCTGAAGGAGGGATACGGATCTGGCAAGAAACGTCCTTGGTATGCCGCTGTCCGTGCTGCTCATGCTCTTGCTCACTCTGGTCAGTTACATGATCTCAACCGCCTGATCTGTATGGCACCTTGTCGCCGTGATCCTCTGTTCCAATGGGGAATCTGCCAGTTGCTAGGCGAGATTGCGTCTGATGATATCTGGGATTCCCCTGTTCGCCAGCAAGCCGTTGAGCTGCTTGGTGATCTGTTCCAGAACGATCCATTGTGGGGTGAGGATGAGAGCGTCAGGACCTGGATGTTGAACATCAGTGGCCAACTCGGTGCTGTTGATGACGCAGCTGTCAGCAGCAGCGCTATTGCCTTGGTGAAGGAACTTCAGCAGGATCAGCCTGCCACCACCAAGCTTCCTTACCCGCTGAGGAACCGACTTCCTTTGCCCACGTCCTCACCAACACTCGTCAAAGTTCAGAAGATCCCACCACTCGAGTACGATTTGCACCGGCTCCGCATGTTGAGGTTGAGCAGAGCCACCAAGACGTCTACATCCCGCCTATGGCCAAGCCTAGTCTAAGGCCAAAGACGAGGACATATTCTTGCTGATGGAGAAGATGCAAGAGTTCTTGGCTGGTGAGCGACAAGTGATGCTGGTGCTTGGTGACTCTGGTGCCGGAAAGTCGACTTTCAACCGCCATTTCGAGCATCGTCTCTGGACCGACTACAAACCAGGCGACCCTATCCCTCTCTTCATCAATCTCCCCTCCATTGACCGACCCCGACCAGGACCTGGTCACCAAGCAACTGAGGTTCCATGGCTTTTGGACGATCAGATCATGGAGATCAAGGCAGCACCGCCAACTCATTCTCATCTGTGACGGGATACGACGAGAGCCAGCAGTGGTCAACCTCCACCGGACCAATTCTCTGATCAGCCTGGCCAGTGGAATTACCAAGATGGTCATCAGCTGCCGCACCCAGTTCCTTGGGCCTGAGTACCACAGCCGTTTTATGCCGCAAAGTGAAGGTGGTCACTACGACCGCCCTGCTCCTCACCTTTTCCAAGAGGCTGTGATCACTCCGTTCTCCAAGGCTCAAATCGAGAACTATGTTGAGCAGTATGTCCCCTTGGAGCCAAGGACGTGGGACACAAAGGACTACATGGACAGGCTCACCACGATTCCCAACCTACTTGATCTGGTCAGGAACCCCTTCCTCCTCTCACTTGCATTGGAGGCACTGCCAGGTGTGACCGAGGGCAAGCAGGATCTGTCGACGATCAAGATCACGCGAGCTCACCTCTATGACACCTTCGTCAGCCATTGGCTCGATGTTAACAAACGACGGTTTGAGAGGAACAATGCCTTGTCGATGAATGATCGCGACATGCTAAACCAACTGGTCAGTGCGGGTTTTAATTCTCTGGGTCTCGACTACGCTACCAACTGGCACGAGCTATCTTTGACCGGCAGGACGGAAAGCCAGTGGTCAAGTATGTCCATTTGAGCGACAAGAACACATGGAAAGCTGAGTTCTTTGGTCCACAGCCAGAGATCCGACTGTTGCGGGAGTCGTCGCCATTGACCCGTGCTGGCAAACCAGTTCCGATTTGTACATCGCTCAATGCTCGAATACTTTCTCTCTCGAGCCATCTACGACCCGATCAAGGCTGACAACGAGGATGATGAAGAAGATGACGCCGAATCCGACGAATGTCCGAGTAGTCGTTCGTTATTTGATGTCAAGAGTCCCTTGTTCCGACGAAACCTGCTCTGAGTCGTCTATCATCCAGTTCCTGTGCGATCGCGTGAAGTCGAACCCTGATTTTGAACATCAACTCCGTGCCGTTATCGACCTGTCCAAGACCGACGAAGTGCAGCCATCGCCGCAACCAACGCAATCACAATCCTGGTCCGAGCCGGCGTGTTATTCAACGGTGCCGACCTTCGCGGGGTCAATATTCCTGGAGCCGACCTAACCGAGGGCCAATTCGACTCTGCGCAGTTCCAAGGAGCCAACCTGACGGGAGCCGATTTATCGAGGAGCTGGTTGCGGCAGGCGGATCTGAGCGGGGCGCAGCTGAAGGACGTTCGGTTTGGGGAGTTGGCCTCTCTTGAGATGGAGAGCGAAGTGATGTTCTGCACCTACTCGCCTGACGGGACGATGCTTGCTGCGGGGCTTGGGGAGGATGGTGTCGATGTTTATAGCACCACCTCATGGACAAGAGTTCTGCAGATTCGAGACATTGGGTTAGTTTTCAGCGTTGTATTCTCACCTGACAGCCAACAAATTGCGTTCGGTGGCAAAGATCAGACTGTACGAGTGTGGGATGTCACGAGCGACGAGGAATTGCTGGCTATGAAGGGGCACACCGAAGAAGTCATATATTCGGTGGACTATTCACCTTGTGGCAAGCTGATCGCATCGGCCGGTTACGAGAAAACAGTGCGACTGTGGAGCTCGCAGACTGGAGAGTGTCTCCTTGTCCTGGAGGATCATACGAGAGGTGTCATGGGTGTCAAGTTTTCCTCAGATGGTCGACAGCTCGTATCGGTGGATGGGGAAGCGATTATTCGGTTCTGGGATGCGGAGACAGGAGAGCTGGTGCGTGAGTTTGACGCCCCGTTTGAAATCAATATGTGTCGTGCCTATTCTCCTGATGGCAAGTGGATTGCCTTCACCCAAGGCCGCTCTTTGCAGCTTTGGGATGCGGTCTCCTATGAGCCAGGGCCAGCCCTACAGGGCCACACTAGTGACGTCAAAGGAGTCGCATTCTCTCCAAACGGCCAATGGATCGCCTCTGCCAGCGAAGACAAGACCGTGAGACTTTGGGATGCATCGACTGGGACCCCTACTCTCGTTTTGTTTGGTCACAACGAAACCGTGCGAAGCGTTGCCTTCTCTCCAAATGGTCTTCGAATTGCATCGGGAGGTTTCGATAAGAAAGTTCGCCTGTGGGATCTGAGCTCTAGCTGGTCTAGCGTTGAGCCGGAGGGACATCGAGTCGATCGGTTATTCAAGGCGGCTTACTCTTTTGACGGGCTTTCGATTCTGGGCGCCAGTGACCGCAGCGTGCAACAATGGGATTCAGCGACAGGACGATCTCTGCCGAACGCGTTTCAGTTTCCGGAACTAGTTTCGGTGAGAGATGTGGATTTTTACCCGGAACTACTTTCGGTGAGGAATGTGGATTTTTCACCTGATGGCAATCAGATAGCGGCCGTCGTTGAAAACAGTTATGTCCAAGTATGGGACCTCCTAACCTGTGCAGCAGGATCTGTCTTCAAAGTTGAACAGTTCGCTCTCACCATTGTCGCCTATTCGCCTTGTGGTCGATGGGTTGCTGCTTGGGGCTGGAAGGCCAGTATTTGGCTGTGGGATCTTCATGACACCACCGTCAAGGAGCATCATGTTATCATTGACATCGAGAATAACGGAGGCTTTGGCCGTAGCACCGTGACCTTCTCGTCCGCCGGACACCAGCTTGCGATTGGTTTTTCCGATGGCTCCGTTCGTGTTTTCGATCCTCAGTCAGGAAACCTTTTGTCGTCCTTGCAGCTGGAGCAAGAAGCCGTCGGGGCGCTGGCATATTCTCCTATCGGCCAGCAACTAGCCGTCGGCGGCGGCAATGGCTCGATATATCTCTGGGACGGTCAATCGCAGGAGCCTAGTATCCAGTTGGATGGACACAATGCAAGAATCTTCTCCGTCGCCTATTCACCTTGCGGTCAGTGGATCGCTTCCGGCGGCGGAGACAGGACGGTCCGATTGTGGGGTCGATGGCAAGAAGGCGAGTTGGAGTATTGGCAGAGTAAATGCGTGGTCCGTGGATTTTTCGTCGATATTCTCAATATTTCTTGGAATCCAGTTACCCCCATGGAGTTTGTCACGCATGGCCATGGTGAATCTGTCCGAGTGTGGCGAGTATCGATCGACGGCGAAAGCGTGGTTGTGAGGATGCTTTGGGGATTTAACAAAAGAATCCTTTGTGCCGAGGGTCTTATCTCTAAGGACGACAGATCTGAGCCCGATGAACCAGAAGCTGCTAGTCCAGCGCGGTGCCGTCGACAGTTCTTTGGTCCATGAGGGAGAAGGATCAGGCGCGTAGGGCCTGCTAGTTTCCTTGTTCCAACCAACACTCACCATAACCTTTTCCTTTTCAAACTGTGAATCCTGAGAACATTACAAATAGCCATTAAATGTATTGTATTTTTTGAACCATTGTTGTTGTTGTTTTTGTTGTTGTTGTTCGTTGTTGTAGTTGAAGTTGTAGTCATTTTTTTTATTTTTTTCGGTGAATCTCTTGAGTATTCGGGCAATGCAGGAGGATTAATGCTCACCATTTGCTGACTATTCGTCTTGCTCAAGCAACCACCTTGGCCATATCCCTCGCTATCCTCAGAGCCGCTACCCTCCTTAAGGTCGTTAATAGAACCAATAATGACCCACTCGTTTAACTCAGACTCCAACTCTGACCCTACCGAGGTGTCGAATGAGAAAGCGCAGTGCGGGTAAGAAGATCTTTCCTGGGTCCGTTGGCCATGATCCACTCTGACTCCTTATCACGGTCAATGTACATCTCCGTACCTGTTACACCCAATATGCGCCGCTCCATGAGATCTCCAAGAAGGTCTATTCCCCTGTCGAGCGACAATGCGAGGCAATCGTAGTATTGGCACTCTTCAAAAGGAGTTCCCTGACGATTCCTAGCTCCAACTGCTCTTGGAGATCCCAATGCCGAGACCCACCTCTCTCAGCCTTGTCAAGCGACTGTTGTGCACAGACTGCACATTGGAGATCCATACTCTCTTGGTGCATATCTTTGTAGGTGTAGTCTGTCGCGGACCTGCCGGCAATGGCTCGCGTGATGTCCGCATACGCCTAGACATCAACACCGTTGTATCGCTTGTTATTTTCCAGTGGTGTTCACGTCGCGTCCACTGTCCACTCTTGGTCTCGATAGTCGGTACGGCACCAAATTTGAGGGTGGAACAAGATCCACTAGGCTTGGTAAAGGCGAGCACAGCGGGCAAAGTCGTCAAGGAGAGTTGTGTCGCGATAATTTCTCGGAAATCTTGAGGGTGGTCGACGAGAGACGGTGGTCCCGCCATATTTAGTGCGCCTGTGCGCCTAAAAAAAAGAGCGGTGAAGTACGAAAGAAAGGAAGAAAGGTTTATTGGAAAATGCAAAATATAAATGAAATTGAAAATATATTATTGGTGGGCTCGCCGTCTGCCTGGAGGTTCTCGCGGTGAAGAACCCGCATCCCAGGGCACACAGCGAGGACGTTGCGGATCCTTGGTGCCCCCAAAAAAAGTTGCTCTCACGTATACCATAAAAAGCCACCCCTCATTGGTCCCCTCTTCTCATTTTATCTCTCTCATGTGCCTTCACGGTTCTTCACGTCTGGCACCAGCAAAGATCTACAATAGTATTGCATTCATCTAGCCTCCGTCTTGTTATGTCTTCCTGAGTCTGGGTGCCAGCTTGGCTTTCTTCCCTTTGATTTGTTTTTCTGTGATGGGCAGGAACATGCATGAGAATGCGTTATTCGCCCTCTCCGCCTTTTTTTTTCTTTCGCTAACGAGCGTACTGTTTGTTTACCAAATATGTAGGCGTCGTGGGTTCGCAGCCATCATCGCTGTTGCAGGAAGGCTTACGAGGACTCATCATCTCGCCCGTCACCACATTCTTCCTAAAGATCGGATATTGCTGGGCAGTCCGAACCATGGCGATCGTCCGCGTCGTCATCCTCATCCCTGCATCAGCACTATTCAAGGCCGGTGTCGAGCCTGGAAAGGATCGCGCGAAACGACTAAAGTAGGAACAATCGGCTGCGACCAGCGAGAAGGAACTTCAGGAGTTGAAGGATGCGGCGGTGAGGGTTCCGAAACCGAAGCGACAGGTCATGGATTTCACAGTGCTAAAGGAAGTTCGGCTATTGATCCTTGTTGTCCTTTCTTTCTTTGTTTTGCTAATGGATACTTTAATCCCTACTACTTCCTCCCAAGGTAACATCGACACTGTCTCATGCTCTTTTTTTCTTGTCGCGGCGGGCATTCTTTTGTGTGACCCTAGTTACTGGTTTTCCTAATGGATACTTTTCATATATTTTTTTTCGCTCTAGCCTATGCACAAAAGAACGGAGTGTCAGTGTCGACAGCCTCACTGCTGATCGGTATTCTGAACGGACCGAGTGCACTCGGACGAGTGTCGGGTCTGGCGAGCGACGACATCGGTGATATCAACACGCTCCTCATCTCGACCAATTGCGTTTCGCTGAGTATCCTGATCGTATGGATATTTACCGGCACATCCGTCCCCATGATGACTACCTCCTGTATCCTCTACGGTTTCTTCTCTGACTCCTTTGTTCGCCATCGTCTCCACCGTCGCCGCTCATCTCTATGGTACGTAATCTAACTCGATACATTTGTGATGCACTAGTCTCTTGATATTTGGCTACCACGCTACTCACTCTCGACAGGGTATTTTTTTTCAGTATT